TGGGGGATGAATTACTATATGGGGGATGAATAACTATATGGGGGATGAATTACTATGGGGGATGAATTACTATGGGGATGAATTCCTATATGGGGGATGAATTACTATGGGGGGATGAATTACTATGGGGAAGAATTACTATATGGGGGATGAATTACTATATGGGGGATGAAATTAGTATGGGGGATGAATTACTATATGGGGGATGAATTACTATGGGGGATGAATTACTATGGGGGAAGAATTACTATATGGGGGATGAATTACTATATGGGGGATGAATTACTATATGGGGGAAGAATTACTATATGGGGGATGAATTACTATATGGGGGATGAATTACTATATGGGGGATGAATTACTATGGGGGTTGAATTACTATGGGGGAAGAATTACTATATGGGGGATGAATTACTATATGGGGGATGAATTACTATGGGGGATGAATTACTATGGGGGATGAATATTACTATAGGGGGGATGAATTACTTCGGTTTTTTTTCCTAATCACACATCATAGCTCCAGTGCAATGTATGACTGGCATCAGTTTGTCCAATACATATGTATCTCATTCACTGCTATAATTTACTCCAGGTCTTTCACATACATTTCTAAAGCTATTGTATGTGCTTTGTGCAGCCTGCTTACTCTAACATTTTTACATCCCACACTGCAACAGTATTGTCAAATTGGGCTGGTAATTAAGTGCCTGCAACACATTCGGTTGGCATGGAAACATTAAATAAAATCAGTAAGTCATTTTGTTCTGTCCCTTCAAATGTAATACAATGTCACAAATTAATTTTACATAATTACTACTGGTGACAGCATTACAATTTGTCTTCTATTTTCTTTGAACCAAGCTTAAATATATTTTTCCCACAATAAAGGAAATAGAAGCGATATTGCAAATAAAACTGACTAGCTTTGATAGGAAGGGTCACTTAGGCAGGAATGTATTTTTTATGCAGGCAAGTTATAACATGTGCCTATAGCCGAACAGTTCAGGAGCTGTAAAAAAGATTATTAAAAAAATGCAACAGTTATTAGACTAGTATAGAAGATTTCTACATGGGATGGAAAATGTAGCATACGCACACTTGTTTTTGCATGGGTTGGAGCTACAGTGAACTGACATTGGGGGCATAATGAAAACAGACTTTAGGGGTCCTTACGTAGGCCAGTTACCAGCAAAGAACATGAGTTTTGCCCATGCAACAGGTTTGCTTAATTACCCACCAACCCACATCTTATACTTGCCTACCCTTCACTTCCCCATCACTCTGGTCACCTGTCAAAAGTGACATACTACGTCACAATGGGGTGGAGCAAATTGTCCTTTTCCTTCCTTCCACAGTGTACATGAGCAGACAATTGCCAGGCCTGAGTGCTTTCAGATGAGGGACAAAATGAACTGAACCTTACATGGAGCTTCATTTCTTTGATATAGCTAGCAAATTAATGAGAAGACAAAGGTAGCAGGAAGCAGACCAATAAGTGAACCCATGTGTACAAAGCACAGGCTCACTGTTAGGGCCCTTTTATACCAGTCAAGTCAGTTGCATTTTATGCACGCTCATTAGTGATGCGTTGGTTTAAGGTAACCCATTCGTTCAAGGCTGAAAGATACATACATACTTAGTCAAGCTGAATAAAAAAATGTTCATCAAGTAAAAAAAAAAACAGTCATCACGAGGTTTGTAAAATTCTTGTACGGGCAGCTGCTGGGTGAAGGAAACAGTAGTATGCCCAAGTCAGCTAAGGTGGGCACCATGTAGAACTACATCTCCCATAAGCTCTTTTCCTATACAAAGTTTTTGGGTAGGCTCTTGCAAGTCAGGACAAAAGCATTATTTTGTTGGGAAATAAATCAGTGTATGCATGTGGAGAAGGACAATAAGGAGAGAGGATAGGTGGAGGTCTATATTACTGCTGTCACTTCCCATACTGGACTGACAAAATTGCTTGGGATTTCAGAGTAGCAGAAGGATTGTTGACAGTCATCATCAGAAAGTTAGGAGTTCATTAGGTTTCTGCTAGGATTATATGGTATTTTGTATGCTTGCAATATTTTATCGTTATAAAACATGGGGAAATGTATATGTATTGCATTGTATTTCACCCAGGTATAGACTGTGATCCTCCATTATTAAGGAAGTCTTGGATGATAAGTATGAGCAGTTCTACACCAGAGGGGCACTAATAAACAAACTAGTGAAAAATGGAATATTGTATGTCAATTAGCACCTGGCATTAATACACTTAATCTACTGTATACTACATTGTATTCCCACCGGTACAATGGTGACAAGTGTATTAAAGATGGACAAAGCAAACTTTCTTAAAGTGGAATTCCATTCACCTGTCAAAAAATAAAAGTCAGCGGCTACAAAAACTGTAGCTGCTGACTTTTAAAAAACAGCCACTTACCTGTCCCTCGGTCCCGTGGTGTGTCCCCCGCAGCCCGTTTCACCGGCCATCCTGGATTCCAGGAGGCTGGCATCTTCAGTGTGGGCACCTGGCTGTGATAAATTGCGGCTTCACAGCCGGGTAGCCACTGCGCATGCGCGAGTAGTGCTGTGCTACATGAATGGTCCTGTAGTCTTCTGGGACCTATCACGTGTCCTTAAAGCGGACCTTCCTCTTTTGGGTTGAGCTCTGCTTTAAGATATGCAATGCAATTGCGTTGGCTAGTTGTTACCTTGACTAAACCACATGGATGTGACTAAAGCTGCCCATACATGGATCAAAATTCAACTTTTTCAGCAGGGACTGGTTGAATTTCAATTCATATATGGCTGGGTTTAGTCACATCCATGTGGTTTATTGATTACAAACAATACTCATTTAGCATGTCCAGTTGCTTACATATTTGTGCTGCAATCACCACAGTATAACTGACTTTAAGCTATTTCTGAGATGCACATACATCCACAGGGACTTTATACAAAGGGTCTACACAATATACACAGAACAAGGAGAACATATGTATGGGAAAAATGACTACAGTAAGTGCTAATTCTGATGTGAAGTAACCCATGGCAACCTCCATAACAACCAATCAGAAGGTAGTGTGTAGAGGTGAAAACAGTACAAGATGTAATAAATAAGTTAATGTATTAATTCAGGGGCGGACTGACCATTTCAAAACTCGGGCACTGCCCGAGGGCTCGGGGTCGGTAGGGGGCCCCATGAGATGCCCCTGGTACCTTTTTCATAGGCTTTTTTTTTGAGTTTGGGCAAGGACACAGGGGCCCCATGATCCCCTATTGCCCGGGGGCCCCATGAGTTGTCAGTCCGCCCCTGGGTGTTACATTAATAAAGGTGCTACACTTAAATCTATAGATTAGTATATTTTATTTTGGGTATAACACCAAGTACATTAGGAATCTAAAATGAGGTGTATTCCTTTACCTGCAGATGGATGCGTCTGTTAAACGTCATCCTGCAGTGATTCCGTCCTTCTTTCCTGCTGGATGCTGCTTGGAGCAGCTGTCTTCTGGCTCTATGAAAGTTAACAGCAGCCACTGCTACTGACAAATGTTGCGTCGTACCCCCACCCTCTTCTGCCCTCTTTGCCATTCATATGTCATTTGACAAATCCAAAGTATAAAATGAATTAGATTGTATGCTTATTAGGTTTTTTTTGGTTGTGATACAGCATCAAACACATTAGTTACGTGTAGCTGTGGGCGCTATAAAGCATGGATGGATGAATTTTCTGCTGCAGCGATTGTATATTGACACTCAGCCCCTCTGGCTGTTAAAACACCTAAACAGCGACTTCATCTGATTACATGCAGCTACTGACCAGAAGGCTCCTTTCACAAAAGGTGTTTTTTGTCAAACTGAAATTAGCAAGGCAAAATATCGCTACACTCATATTACTGCACTCTCATAATGCACTGCATTCTGTAAAAAGGCAGAGGAGATCCTGCTCCTCCTCTATTCACATGATGCATTATAGGACAATATAATTAGGCGTTCTCTGAATGGCAGAGAGGACAGAAGCAGGAGGGCAGCACAACTTTTCTCTGTAGCAGCAGCTGCTGTTGACCTTCACTGCGCCGGAAGACAGACACTCAGGGCATTATCTGACGGCTGTGCAGGAAACACAACAGGAAGATTTTTTCAGAAGTAGCCATCTGCGGGGAATGGAATATACATTATGAAGATGGCCATGCATTGTGAATATTTCACCCTGATGACCCTGTTCTGCTTGACAGAAATTAACTTTTGTCTGCTGGTCATTGACTGTATCCAATCAGATGCAACCTCTGTTTGGTATTTTGATAGCCAGCAGGGCCAACATTTAAAATATGTTAAAATGCAGGAGTTGCATCCATCCATGCTATATAGCCCCCCAGCAGCTACACCTACCTAATGTATTTAGTGCTGTATTCCCCCCCCCCAAAAAAAAAAAAAACTTCACCTTTAAAGTGTTACTAAACCCACAACAGTAAAATCAGTCTGTATATGTAGTAAAGCATGCTTGTTATACTCAATATAGAACCTAAAGGGTTAATCCTCTGCATTGTGTAAAAAGGCTGTTATATCCTGTCTTCTCTGCTCCTCCTCTTGTTCAAATGTCCGTGCTGATAAGACAGACTGAACCCATAGCCCTTCTGCACATGCTCAGTTTAGTGTGTATTGCTAGAGAGGGTTTTTTTCTTGGGAGAGTGCATGTGATCAGCACAGGGCCAATCAGCACTGTCCAGACAGAGGTCAGGGGTTTTGCATCATCCTAGAGCAGAAAGAAGATTCCTCCTACAAGCTTTAACCAGTCCCACATGGAAGAAAATTATATCTGAAAAATATTTAAAAAATATTCTCCCAAAATATATTGACATATATTTGAAATACTACAATTTTGGCCATATTTAATATATTTCAATAAATATAAAAAAATCTAAAGAGTATATTTAACTGCCTCCCGCCCGCCATATAAGGAAATGACGGGTACAAGGCGTTTCTCTTGTTCTAGGAGAACATCATATGACGTCCTCCCACTCTAACCGCACATGCGTGGCTCCGGGGCCATGCAGCGCAGCGATCAGTGGTGCGCTGTGTCCATCGGGCTCGGTCGTGTGATCAGCTGTGTCCAATCACAGCTGATCGCATGTAAATAAGTAAATGTTGGTTATCGGCATTTCTCTCTTCACAAGCTGTCACGCTGACAGCTCGAGAGGAGAGGAGAGCCTGTAATCGGCATTCCTTGGAGGGGGCATGTACACTGATCATCAGGCACGATCAGGCATGATCAGTGTAGCCCCAGCAGTGCCACCTGTCAGTGTCCATCAATGCCAGCTGTCAGTGCTCATCAATGCCACCTGCCAGTGCCCATCAGTGCCACATCAATGCCACATATCAGTGCCCATCTGAGCTGCCTTTTAGTGCCACCTATCAATGCCAATCAGTGCCACCTATCAGTGCTGACAATCTGTGCCACCTATCAGTGCCAGTTAGTGCTGCCTATCAGTGCCAGGCAGTGCTGCCTATCAGTGTATATCAGTGCCGCCTATCAGTGCCCTTCAGTGCTGCCAGTCAGTGCCACCTAACAGTGCCAGGCAGTGCTGCCTAAAAGTGCCAGTCAGTGTTGCCTAACAGTGTCACCTGTCAGTGCCGCCTATCAGTGCCATATATAAGTGCTGCTTTTCAGTGCCCATCAGTGATACCTGTCAATGCCCATCAGTGCCACCTACCAGTGCCTCCTCATCAGTGCCCATCAGTGCCACCTATCAGTGCCCATCAGTGCAGCCTATCAGTGCCCATCAGTGCCAGGCAGTGACGCCTATCAGTGTGTATCAGTGCCGCCTATCAGTGCCCTTCAGTGCTGCCAGTCAGTGCCACCTAACAGTGCCATATATAAGTGCTGCTTTTCAGTGCCCATCAGTGATGCCTGTCAATGCCCATCAGTGCCACCTACCAGTGCCTCCTCATCAGTGCCCATCAGTGCCACCTATCAGTGCCCATCAGTGCAGCCTATCAGTGCCCATCAGGCTGCACTGATAGGCTGCACTGATAGGTGGCACTATCAGTGCAGCCTATCAGTGCCCATCACTGCAGCCTCATTAGCGCACATCAGTGAAGGAGAAAAATCATAATTTTACAAAAGAAAAAGAAAAAATGTTTTTGTTTCAAATTTTTCAGTTGTTTTTTGGTTTGTTTAGCAAAAAAAAAACCCAGAGGTGATTAAATACTACCAAAAGAAAGCTCTAACTGTCTCAAAAAAATTATAAAAATTTCAAAAAGTGAAAAATTTTTTCAAAAAAGTGTTGCATGACCGTGCAATTGTCATTCAAAGTTTGACAGCGCTGAAAGCTGAAAATTAGCCTTGGCAGGAAGGGGGTATACGTGCTATGTAGGCAAGTGGTTAAAATATATATATTTTTTTTAAAATATATATTTTTTTAAATATATTCTTCAGATTTTTTTAACGTCATGTTGACATATATTTTTACACATATTTGGAAATGCATTCCAAAAATTTAGATTTGTATTTTTAAAGACATACAGTATATTTGGAACGCATTTTTTAAAATATTTTTCATATATTTTGTAATAAAAACGCATTTCAACATACAGTGTGTATATATATATATATATATATATATATATTGAAATATATTTTGAAATATACTGAATATGGCCAAAATTGTAGTATTTTAAATATAGTTCAATATATTTGAGAAGAATATTTTTTAACTATATTTCAAATATATTTTTCTTCCATATGGGGTGCTCTGCTGAAGTCACAAGACTGCTCTAACTGCTGATGAAAAAAGGTATTTAGGAGTTTATATTTACTAAAATAATTGCATTTCCATGCTCTGTGTACTGTGGGAGACCAGATATAGTGAATGAAGGGTCCTGGGTTTAGTAACACATTAAATAGTGTGTATGCAGTCTAATTCCAATGTAATTCTCATACTTCAGATTTCTCAAATTCTAGCACATATGGTTGTAGGGTGTCAAAAAAAAACCTTGTTAGCGTGGTATGAGTGGTAAACAGCAGGATAAAGCCAGCGAAACCTCACATCAAACAGGAACTGCATGAGCCAGTTAGATGGAACATGTGAGGTACAACCCCCGGGGATTACTTCTCTAGAGGCAAGACAGACCTACATTTCACAGCAAGGCATCAGTAAATGAACAAGAATATGCTAAACCTATGCACCTGCCTCTTAAAAGATGTGTGGAAGGAGAAGCAGAAACCAGAGCACTCATGAAACTAGCCAACCCTTTCTGCCAGCTATTGAAAGAAGGAGTGTTAATACTAACAGATTCAAATAGGACACCAATTAGCACCTCTTGTGAAGACGAGATCCACACTTCTTTAGGCTCAGATTATGTCATTATTTGAAATCTCTTGAGTAACGGAATGCCTAACCTGGCTTGACAGAATAGGATTACTGTAAAATCTCATTTCAAGGCTTGGATATTCGGCCTTACACCTAATGATGACACAAATATATGATGGTACTCAAAGCCGAGGAAGTATCCGTAAACATCCATAAATCCATGCTACAATAATACTGCTTGAGGATGGTATATGTAAAAGCAATATCTAGAATCTGCTAGACGCTTGAATAGGGTAATATGACTTCAAAAGCAATGTTTCGTATTTTTAAACCTAAAACTTCAATTATAATAATACATTGTGATCCTGTGATAAAGGTCCTTGTTCAGGCACTCCCCTTCTCCCAATTGTGCCATTGCAATGTCATCCTGTCATGTGATGATTCAGTACATTTATATCTTTGCTTAAAGAATATGTAAACCCAGCATTTTGTATTCCTGATATGTGCCTGCTGTACCATGGACTTGTGTTAAAAAGTATCCTGTTCTCTTTGTACTGATTCCTCTGCGTGAAATCCTTGGTGTTCCTGTCAGTCTTCTGTTTTACTATTAACCGCATGCCGCCCAGCCACTGTACATATACGGCGGCAGGGCGGCACTCACAGGCAAAACCACGTTTTAAGACGTGTGTTTTGTAAACAAATAGGGGGCGCGCGCGAGGTGCGCCGCCCGCCCTATTTGTCCCGCGGTTCTCTGCCGCAGATGTCAGTCGCTGGGTCACAGCCGCTCCTTAGTGGCTATGTCCCAGCGATCGGCGGCAAACAGTGACAGAGAGCACAGCTGCAGTAGCTGTGCTGTCTGTCACTTCCCTGACAGCTCGACGATGAGCTGATCGAGAAAGAACAGTTTTTCTTTCTCGATCAGCCTTGTCCCGCCCAGCACACACCCCCGCCCCCTAGTAAAACACTCCCCTCACTCCTATAACCCTTCCCTGCAAAATAAAGTTAACCCCTTCCTCCCCATTGCCATTAGTACAGTGTCAGTTTTTTTTTTTTTTGCACTGATCACTGTATTAGTGTTTTTGGGGATGTCAGTGACCCCAAGTCAGTACCCCCCCATGTCAAAAATGTCCGCCGCAGTCCCGCAGTCCCGGCTTAAGTCGCTGGTCGCTGCCATAAGTCCCTGATCGCCGCCATAATTCGCTGATCGCCGCCATTATCAGTATAAAAAAAACTAAAAATCCCAGTATCTTTCCCGCCATTTTTAAACGCTATAACTTTCATGTAAACCAATTAATTTACACGTATTGGGTTTTTTTTTTTTTAGCAAAGGCATGTCACAGAATGCATTTTGGCAGAAATTTATGACTAAATTTGATTTTTGCATTTTTTTTTACTGGACATGTTTTATAGCAAAAAGTCCAAAATATTGTTTTTTTTTTTCCTCAAAATTGTCAGCCTTTTTTTTTTATAGCTCAAAAAATAAAAACCGCACAGGTGATCAAATACCACCAAAAGAAAGCTCAATTTGTGGGGAAAAAAAGGATGTAAATTTCATTTATGTACCATATTGCATGACCCGCGCAATTTTCCGTTTAAACTAGCGCAGCGCTGTATAGCAGAAAAATGGCATAAATTGCAGTATCTATACCGGTGTCGGCAACCCGCAGCTCCAGAGCCGCATGCGGCTCTTTTTCACCTTGGCTGCAACTCCGGAGCACACTGCCCACCAGGCTTGGGGGGGATAATTAAAAAGGGGGGATAATTCTGGGGGGGATAAATTAAAATAAATTAAAAGTATAAAAAAGGGGGGAATAATTGGGGGATGATTATTTGGGGAAAAATTTAGGGGGATGAAACAAATTTGGGGGGAAATAAAAAAGGGGAAATTAATATGGTAAAAAAAGGGGGGGAAAAAATTTTAAATTAAAAAATTTTTTTTTAAAAATAAATTTTGGGTTTTCCCCCCAATTTTCCCGGGGGGAAAAAAAATTGCCCCCCCCAAAAGGGAAAAAGGGGTTTTAATCTTTTCCCGAAAAACCCCTTTGGGCTACCCCTTTAAAAAACCCCCCCCCCAAAAACTTTTTGCTTACTTTGGGTTTTTTTTTTGGGGGAATTTTTTGGGGCTCCCCTTTTTTTTCCCCAAAAAAGGGTTCCAAATTTTTATGTCAAATTCCCCCCCCGATATACCTAGTTTGTTTTATAATTTTCCCAACAAAATAATATCATTTTGGGTTTTTTTTACCCAAAAAATTAGCAGAATACATTTGGCCTAAAATTTATAAAATTTATTTTTACTTTATTTTTTTTTTAAAATAAAAAAAAAAATTTTTTTCTTCAAAAAATTTTGCCTTTTTTTTTAAAGCGTGAAAAAAAAAACCAAAAAGGCCAAAGGGGGGGGGGGTTTTTTTTAAATTAAACCCCCCCCCGGGTAGCCCAAAAATCCCCAGGAACCAAAACCCCTTTTTTAAAACCCCCCCCCCCTTTTTTTTTAAAAATTTATTTCCCCCTTTTTTTTGAAGGGGTTTTTTTTTATTTGGGGCCCGGGACTTCCAAAGTTGGGGGGGGCCCCCCGGGGTAGCGCCAGATTGCCCGCCATAAACCTTTTAACCCCTTTAAAAAATTTTTGCCCCCCCCCCCCCCTTAACCCCTTCCCCTTTTCCCCCTTGTCCTTCTGTCCTTTTTTTTTATACTTACGTTCCCTGCCCTTGAAGGTTCCCCCTCCCAATGGAAGGGGCCCCATAACCCCCCCCTTTTCCCTAAAACCCCCCCAAACCCCCCCCGGTCAAGTTCTTGACAAAAACAGTTTTTATTTTTTTTAATTTTTGGTGGGTTTTGGGAAAATTTTATGAATAGGGTTTTTTTCCCCGGGCCCAAAAAAAAATTAAACCCCCCCCGCCCCCCCCCAAAAATTCCCCTTTTGCCCCCGTTTCCCTTTTAAAAAAAAATTTTTAGACCTTTTTGTATGGTGAAAAAAAGTTTTCCCCCCCAAATCCCTTTTTTCCCCCAACCAATTTTTTTTTTACCAAAAAAATGAGGGTTTTTGGTTAAAATTTTTTTTTTTTAGGGGAAAAAAAAAAATAAAAATTTTTTTTTTTTTAAAAATTTTCGTTTTTTTTTATTTGCAAAAAAAAAAGGCCGGTGATCAAAAACCCCAAAAAAAACCATTTTTGGAAAAAAAAAGAAAACTTTGGGGGTTAGGCCCCTTTTTTTTGAATTTTGCAGGAAGGAAAAAAACCCCGGCAAAGGGGGGTAAACCCAGGAGTCAATGGAAAAAACCCTGGCGGGAA